AATCAATGCAGGAAAGGCGGGGCATTCTTTGATAATGCAAAAACGTTGCTAGGAATAAGACCAGCTCCAGTGATGGCTTCTTTCTCATCGAGGGGACCTAGTGTCATTGAGCCTTCACTCCTCAAGGTTCTTTTCAATTCTCACTTGTATGCATGTATGCATGTATCAGTCACTAGTCACTTATTTCTTTCAATCCTCAAGGTTTTTCTTTGTTTTTGGTTTCAGCCTGATGTGACTGCACCAGGTCTTAATATACTTGCTGCTTATTCAGGCGGTGCAAGTCCCACCAATTTGCCATCAGATAAGCGTCGATTTCTGTTCAATGTCCTCTCTGGAACATCCATGGCGTGCCCCCATGTTGCTGGAATTGCCGGTCTTCTCAAAACTCGCCATCCTACATGGAGTCCAGCAGCAATCAAGTCAGCTATCATGACTACAGGTAGTAAGATTATTGAATTTTTGTGAAATTAGGGACATATTAGGTTTGTCTTTCTATCAAATTAGCCTAAGCCAAATTGATATGACCTCCTTTAAGGTTATATGCCTTCAATCTTTTCTTTAGTTAATCAGTGTGAGACTTTTAATTTCAATACATTCTAAATTTCTAATAGTGATAAGTAAATGGAACTAGTCATATGTAAATATTGTTTAGACAGTAATGATGGTTGATTTAGTTAGTGAGCATTTGTGCCCTCATGGGCATATCCATGGATTCATATATCCTATATATGAGTATGGATTTAAAACTTAATAATCACCTATCCGAGGGAAGGTGAAAGACTCATAAATTTGAGTCTTGAAATTTTAATTAAAATACGACATCCTTATATTGCTTTTTACTATTTGTTCTCTCTTCCCATTTCTAGATGGTTGCTCCTTATTCCTAACCTCCCTTATGAGTATAGATTTAAAACTTAACGCTGATATAATGAGCTCATTAGTAAGTAATAAGTAGTAGGTAATATACCTTCCATTTGAACTTGTAAAACCCAACTCGCCTAAACTTTGTCTTGATAATTAATATGCATTTCTTTTTCTCTTAAAAAGCATTCATATTGACTTTCATAATCTACGTCCTTGCAGCAACCACACTCGATAATACCAACAGACCAATTCTGGACGGAGTAAATGATCATACTGAAGCAACTCCATTTGCTTATGGTTCAGGGCATGTTCGTCCCAACCTTGCAATAGACCCTGGACTTGTTTACGATCTTAAGCCTTCTGATTACCTGAACTTCTTATGTGCTTCTGGATACGAGGAAAGCTTAGTTGCATCATTTAATTTTAACAAGCCCTATAAATGTCCCCAGTCCTACAAGATCACAGATTTCAACTATCCTTCGATCTCTCTGGCTAATCTTGGAGCAAAGCCTATAACTGTTACTCGTACAGTAACAAATGTTGGGCCTGCAAGCACGTACTCAGTGAGTATCAAACCTCCTAAAGGAGTTCAACTTATTGTCAACCCAAAAACTGAGCTTCAAGAGAACACTCGAAAAGAAGAGCTTTCGAGTTACTTTGAAGGCAACGGGTGTGGCTCAACCTAAATCTTCCTTTGGGGAAATGTCGTGGACTGATGGAAAGCACACAGTAAGGAGTCCTGTGGTGATTGTGAACTTTGAGAATTCACTTTAAGTAATTATATATATATATATATATATATTCCCCCCAGTGTGGTGTGTGTTTGTGTAAAATAAAATGAACTAGCTTCTGTCTCGCGTGCTAATTTGTAGAATAATAACGGACTAGTGTGTGTTTTTGTGTGTTTGTTGTTGGTTTAGTATGTGGTTGTACTGAACTTGTTAGATTTAAAAAAATATGATGAGCCTACTTTATTGGTCCGCCTGAATTACTTTCTAATTTCTATTTATTTTCTATGATAATAAAGCTCAAGGGGGTGCAACTTGACTCGAGGTATTAGATGTCTGAAATATATAGTTCCGTGTGAAGCGATTAGAGAATATAATTAATCACAACTATATAAATGTGTGGTGTTCTTTCAAAGTAGTTTTGGATATTTTGGACTAAGTGACAAGCCTTATTTTATGAATAATATAAAAATGTTAACATGTAAACTAAATATTTTAACAAGTAATTATAAGGAATTAACAAGTAACATCATGCATTTAATTACAAGTATATCAATTGAGTTAACAAGTCATCAAGTGATGTTAGGGAATTAACATATAAAAGCAAAGATTTTAACAAGTAGGGAATTAACATGTAAAGTAATTAAGATTTTAACAAGTAATTACAGGGAATTAACATGTAAAGTGAAAATCTTAACTCAAAAAGATTATTTCAGTCATCTTGTCTTACATTTTAATTTCAGTTCAGACCCAAAATTTCAGTAGTAAAATTTCAGATTTTTTTGTCTTTTTTGTAATAATGTCCTTCGATTAATTTTATTGGAACTCTCCCATTAATGAACACCATAGGAATTTTAATGCCCTTCAATTCAATTTCCTAGTTAAGTAGTTTCGTTTCAACTTTAGAATCAAGGCACTCAATTATATTTAAGTGTTTTGCGATCCAAAAAAAAAAAAATCCATAATCTAACTCAGTGCTATTATGTCTTAAATGCAAGTCAAGATTCAGCCAAAAGCACAAGCCTCACAAGCTCATAGGGCTATTGAATATATGCCTATCTCAAGTATAAATTAGGTATATTCAAATTCTAGGTTGCTCAATCAAATGTCTAATTGCAATCCCCTTCTTTCAAAAGCAAAATTCCAACTTCAAAACACACACTAAAGTTAACCATCCACTAGCATGGGAAAAAAAAATTAATATTAAGCATTAAAGCTTCCTTTAAATATCAACAACTAAAGAGAAAACTAGTTACAAAAACCTCCTTTTTTCAGCGGGGTCCCATAAAACACAAGCAGACACTTATTTTATCCCTCAAGTCCCTCATCTCACACCCTACCTTTCAGGCTTTCGCTTTAATAATTCACTCCTCTCCTTGCTTTGATAAAAGCGTAGCCTATTATAATGTCAAATAATTAAACTGTCATGCTCCAAAATTTAAGCGTGACCGGCTTGAGATATGCATAGAAAAACATATCCCTTAGCCTTAACACCAGCTGCTATGTTTTAATTACAACACATTCATGGAAATGAGTAGGGCTCTTCATTTTCATTTTTTTTATTTGTACCAAAAAGTCATAAATTTTTCTTAGAAACTTAATATAGAGTCTTCAAAAATTTCTACAACAACAACATTAGCAAAAACAACAATAATGAGTTTTGCTCTTATCAATAAACAAATAAATAATTAATCAATACGAGAATTTTAAGTATAGTCTATGTGGAGCATCTAAAATAGAATTTACAAATAACATAGTATAATATATAAATTCAAGTTTTACAACATATAAATTTAATCGAATTAATGCTTTAACCTCAGTTTGAAAATATATCCTTCATTGATCCCCCGGAGGTCTTTAGCTGTCTACAATATCTGAGGCTAAAAACTTTTTCAGTGAATGACATCCCAATAATGAAATCAAAAGATTCAAGATAAATAAATTCATCAAATAAATTGGTGCATAATTAAAAGAGAACATCAATATGATATAATAAATGAGCTTGGAAATTACAAGATCCTAGGTAGCTTCAAAATTACCGAACCAATAAATTTACAACGACAGAACCTTAACACTTGATCTTATAAAATAAAATAAATTAAGTAAACAAAAATAATAACATTCACTATTTAAAATCAATAAAGTGTATATAAATATATATTCACAAATCTATTAAATCTGAGGACTTTGTAGAACAAGTAACAAGTATGGACACATAGTTCATGAAGGTAAATAACCAAATGCAGCTTACGCTATGAAAATAAACGTGGACACACAGTTCATGAGGGTAAATAACCAGACATGGTTAAAGTTACGAGATAAACGTGGACACACAGTCCATGAGGGCGACTAACCAAACATGGTCAAAGCCACAAAACATACGTAGGTATGAGACCAACGAATAACAAACATGAGAACAAAACTCACGAAAATCAAACTAACTAGTCATTGACCAAGGTGCGCCAAGGGCTAAGGAACTACCGTTAGCAATCAATGCTCTGTGTAGAATCCTTTAAAAATTACTTTTTCAAACATGCAAGAAATGAATCATTTTCAAAATAAAATGTTGTGTTCTCCATATCAAACTCGCATGACCCTTTCAAAACCTCAATTCTTCTCAATATAAAATTCATTGCTAAGTCCACATTTGCCTTTATCAAATATAAAAAAAATCCCAATTTGAGCTAGTACAACTTTTCATCACCCTTCAAGATATAATTTACAATGAATATATATAGACATATTATAATTCTGTTACTTTTCACCATATAAATCACAACTGCAAGAGTTTAAAGCAATATAATTAACAAAATATTGAACACTTGAAATAGTACATGAAATATACTTAAGAAAAATAATATTTCAATCATGAAAGAAAAACTTGTTAGTAAATTTATTGGAATGTTATCTACTTACCTATGGCAATCCCAACATTGTAATTTACCCCTTAACATTCCTCACAACAAGGTTTATTCCTGAAACATTCAATATAATAATTGAACCTCTAAAATTTTATAACACTCATAATCATTTTCTCTCTCAATTTTTATAGTATATACTTGCATTGCTCTTGAACATTAATCTTTTAGTTCTCATTCCATCAAACATCTTATATGCATTCTAAAACAAACCATCCATGGTTACTAAGTTTTATGAATTGCCAACCATACAATCTTCAAGTATCAACAAGTCCTTTATAAGGTGTGATAGCCTATAATTCTAAAAAAAAATTAAAAGAGGTAATAATATATTTTAAGAGTACTTTTATTAGTTTTGGGAGAAAATTTAGCAGGAAGAGCTGTTTTGGTGGAAATTATGCAACCAATTATTTAATTGGTCCACAGTGAAAAATTTTATCCTTTTGCTTCAGCCTTTAACAAGTTACCATTTTATCCCTATTTAAAAAAAATAAATAAATGAGAGCAGACATATACGCAAGGGCATTATTCATTTTGATCCTCTGCTTCCTCATTCTCTCGATCATTCTAGCGAAGTGAGAGTACTTAGCCTTTCTCTTAAGACCTCCTCGCCCTCTTCCCATTTTTGATTAGCTCGCCGGCATGCTTAACAGTGTTCGTTGTGGTTCCTTATTTCTTTCCTCTCTAGTTGCTGTAATAGATCAAAACTTCCTTCCTACTATCATCACCGGCGTCATTTGTGAGAAGAGGAGGTTGCTGGAGAGGACATGCATGGACGAGCGTCTTGTAGCTGTTGTTGGAGGTTGCTATCAGCCTCCTCTTTTCCTTCCTTCATCACAACTATATGTAGGAAACAGAATTTTTCCCTCCCCTGTTCTTCACCATGTTCTTCTCCTTCCTCTTTTATGCTGTTGGTGGCTTGTGGGGGTAAGAAGCTTTGATCTCTCACTTCCTTGTTACTGCATGATATGCTTATGGGTTGAGATAGTGAGTTTTTCCTCAATTTTCTGTAGAACCGTGAGTAGTGCAAAGTAGAAATTTGATTTCTTTTGAGTATAAAAAAATTATATATGCTGAAGGATTTAACTGGGAGAGTTGGATTATTCTAATTAATGATATTAAAAAATTTGGAAAATGAAATTTGAGGGAAAGAAAGTTTGGTAATTGCTAAAGGATTCATGCTTACAAGGTGTTTGATAAAATGCACCTTAGGAGAATTTTGCTTGATTTTATATGTTTTTGAAACTTCATTAATTATTGTAAGAAGTATATTTAGTTAGGTGTCATCGATACATGAATTTAACTTGTAGGCTGCAAAGTAAAGAAATTTGATTATGAACTGGTATGTAAATATTTAAATTTTTAGGGATAGTATGGTTATTGATAAATTTTTGGATAAAAGATGGAAGGTTAGAAAATTCTAATTGTATAGTCGAAAATAATGCACCCAAAAGTACTTGATGCAAAGCTTAGGAGAAGTAAATAAGTTGGTATGGCTAAAGTATTATGGAGGAAATTAGTGACATGAATGATAATATTTGGATATTGTTATTTGTAAATCTAGATTGATTTTTTTCTTTTTCTTTTTGTAAAGGATTTTATTTAAAAAGTTATTAAGATCTTATTTGAACTCTGAATTATTGAGAATTGCCAAGTTGAAACTTTATAAAGTATATTATTGTTTTAGAAGTCATACTTGGATGATTGGAAATGGTTGGGCAAGAGAATTAAAGGTTATATGTTTCATTGAATTGGATTGGAATGTTGCACATTAGATGTTTGGTAAAAAAATTTTGTTGCTAAAACTTTAAAGTTTTTATTATTAATTCTTATTGAGTGGATTCTCTTCAAAAAAGGGACCAGTTGGTTTAAAAGTAAAGACCATTAAGATCTTATTATATTTTATAGGGTGATTATGAGAAGGGTAACTCGATTGGAGTTGTAAAAAGTGAATTTCAAATGTTGAAAGTACTACAAGTAAGTGGATAACGTCCTAGTAATATATTGGAAAGTTTTCTTTATCAAAATATTGTTTTAACAATTTATAGATATTATATATTTCTATTGCATTAGCTCCTTTTGTTAATTAAATTGTTTTACTTAGAGTCATGACTTATACTTTTTGGATTGACAGAAATGCTTTTACAAATTTTACCAGTATGTTATTTGGTAAAGCCAACCATGAAAATTAGTGAATAATTTATGAAATATTAATTATGAATTTTCATATTTAGAAAGATTGATGTTTTACATGTTTCATGCGAGTTTGATCCTAAGAAGAGAAATTATATTTTGCAAGTGATAATTTTCTCGTATGTTTGAAAGTGAATTTAAAAAGAGACTTTATACAGAACATTAGTTGTTAACGGCAGTTCCGTTAGCCCTTGGCACGGTATAGTATACCTAGCTAGTAGGGTGCTTATAGGAGGTGCTAATCCCGCGCAATGGCCAACGCACGTGGAGCGGAGGGATGGTTATTTGTGAGCGTCGTACTCATGTTTGTTTCGTGACTTTGACTGCGTTTGCTTACTTACCCTCATAGATTGTGTGTCCACATTTATTTTGTGACTTCAGCTATGTTTAGTTACTTACTCTCGTGGACTGTGTATCTACGTTTATTTCATGGCTTCAACCGCGTTTGGTTATTTACCTTCATGGACTGTGTGTTCACATTTGTTAATTGTTCCGATAAGTCCCTATAATTTTAAATCCAATTATTTGGTGATTTTATTTTCCATTAATTTTTATTTAGTAATTTATTTATAAATATTTATTTCAATTATGTACTTTCTTGAAATCATATAATATTATCATTTGCTATTATAGTTCAATGATTTAAGATTTTATTTGAAATTTTTTAGAGCCATTTTATTATGAAGTTTATTAAATTTTTATAAAAATTGTTGTCTTTTTAACTTACATAACTATTTCAAACTTTCCATTTTATTTATGTTCTATTATTTATTGTTGGGACGTTATTCATTGAAAATTATTTTTGATCTTAAATACCTTAGCTGACGTTGATTCTCATACTAATCTTGAGAACTTTTACATGTGCTGAGTGGAGAGTTGATGGAAGTCTCTCCTTTTGATGTAATGACAATTTATGTGTATTTCATTTCGAAAAATATGACTAGATACTCTACATAGACTATAGCTAGGGTTTCTATTTAATATATATATATATATATATATGCTGCTTGCTGATTGAAAGGAGCTAAGCTCCCGATTGATATAAGATTTTATGGAAGTTTTTTGTATTGTAGAATTTTTGGAAGATCCTATTTACATGAGGTTTTGCCGAAATTTCTACAAAACATTGAAGCTTCATTATAATGATTAATATCAATATAGATCTGATTATATTTTACAAATGGAATTAACTTATGAATTGAGGCTTACGGGAATGTATGACACGGTTCACACCCTGTGCCGGTCACTCTCTATTTTTGGGACTTGACATAAAGTTTCCTTAATTCAATTTGATACGAAAATTTGACTTCTTATAAGAGCAAAACATAATTATGAATTTAAATTTTTGTCCTTAACATGACCATAATCTATCTAAGCAATTCAAAGCTGCTCCCAAACATCAACTTTTATATCATAGTTTCTTCATGATACTTTAGCCATGGCTAATTATTCCATTAGAACATGATTTTCTTTCAAACCTTATATTAATCAGCTTGTGTGCATGACTATTAAACCATTCGATAAAATTGTTTTAGTTTCAATCTCTTAAGCAACAACTTCCATGCATCCATAATTAAATTCATCAGGCTTTCCCAATCTAATTCCCCATCAAAATTCAATTTAAGTTCATAAAAAAAAAAATCAAATCCAAACACATGGCAGTCGAACAAGCAGACAAGGAAGACCACTATATATATATACCTATATTCCATACATAATCATCAGGGGCAAAAAGGAGGGCGAGCTTACACATACCAATCGCAGGTGATACCAACGAAGAAGGAAGAGGAGGAGTTTGGTGCTGTTGATGCAAATCGAAGAGGAAGGGAAAAAGAAACTGACAGCATCTCTTCCACGACAAAATGCCGCAATGATAGCTCCAGGTGTATGGGTTGCGTAATGACAATGAAGGGAAAAACTGGATCCATGGCAACTCACCAAACCAAGAGATGAAGAAGGAGCAGACATCACCAAACAGGGAGGGAACAGGGGGAGAATATTCTGGCAACGTGAACAACAGAGGAAGAAGGATCTAGTGCATAGGAGAGAGACCTCCAGCAACGACGGCCTGAGCTCCTCCACGACGTGCCGGCGATGACTGAAAGACGAAGGAGATGAGGAACGTTGTTGAAGCTTCTCTCTCTCTCTCGGTTGTGTTGTGCTGAACGGGAATGAGACAAGGGGAAAATATCTGATTGGTGTTTTATAAGAGGTTTTTTCTTCTTAAGAGGGTATTTTAGTAATTTCACAGAATCAAAGCAAAAATATAACATGCCATCTCTGACTGTAAAGATTCGAACGCAAGACTCGAGAGCAGACACTAAAGGATACTTCCACTAAGCCACACATTCATCTTGCTATATGTACTCCAAATTATAAAATATAACCTAAAATACATTTTATCATCATCATCTTCATCATCATGGTCATTACATAAACATACGAATCCCCCCATTTATATGCGCCAAAACTCACTTTACCTAAAAACTAAGAAGTCTTGAAAATTAAAAGAGAACAATGTTTGAAAAGAACGACAAACTATGCAGAGGAAATTAAATTAAATGAGTGAGAAAATTAGTCAGAGGAGATGACTCTCTCTAATGTCCTAACAACTCATCCAAAACATAAAAAATTACAAGGTCACATCAACGATGCACGCCTCTCTCTGTTATTGCAAAGACTTCCAAAGACGATACTGTTTCGAAAAAGCATTGATCTAAAGTGTGAAACATTAATTGGAAAAGTGTGTGTGGACGCCAGAACGCCGATGATTTTACATACAATTTCAAAAGCTACTTCAGCGCACTGGCTGGGTTATCTTTTTCAGTGCCTGTGAAAAGAGGGATAGCCCTTGTCTTTTAACTCTTTTCTTTCTTTTTTTCTTTTTTCTTCTTTTTCCCATCCACCTAACATAATTTGTTAACAAATAGATTGAAGAGTAAGTGACTTTTAAACTCTTTTTCTCTTATATAAACACCCTCAATACCCTCACCATATTTACATCCAACAATCAATCTCTGAATCTTTTCATAATAAGTTCCAGCTACCAAAAAAACCATGTATATTCCAAGCATATTCTTCTGCGTCTTTATATGCCTCTCCTCTTTCTCCCAAGCTGCTTCTGCTGCTGAAGATCAATTTCTTCATAGTGAAGGAAGTTCCTTGTTGAGGTGGAAAGCCAGCCTTGGTGAACAAAGCCCAGACGCATTGTCTTCTTGGAAGAATGGAACCAGTCCGTGCAGAAACTGGACAGGGATTACATGTGACGAATCTTTGTCAGTTACCATGATTAATCTAACAAGTCTTAGGCTGCAAGGTACACTTCAAAATCTGAGCTTCTTGTCCTTCCCTAACCTCAAACATTTCGATATAAGTAATAATTCCTTCTCTGGAAATATTCCTCCCCAAGTTGGTAACTTGTCCAGTATTCTTACACTGACAATGTCTCACAATTTATTAATGGGTTCTATCCCTGGAGAAATTGGAGCACTGAGAGCTCTAAATTTTCTTGATTTGAGCTTTTGCAATCTCACTGGGCATATTCCTCGAGAAATTGGGAAGTTGAGTGATCTGACAGATCTAATTCTTGGAACTAATCAACTCTACGGTTCCATTCCCCAAGAAATTGGCATGCTGAGCAATCTCATACAACTTGATTTATCAGAAAATTCAAAATTCTTCAGCGGAATCCCTTCTACAATTGGAAACTTGACCAAGTTAAAGCTATTGTATCTCTATAGTAGCAATCTCACTGGTCTTGTTCCCAATGAACTTGGGAAACTACATTCCCTTGTAGATATTCAATTGTCAGATAATAATCTTTATGGCCCAATCCCATCTTTCATAGGAAACTTCACAAGTCTTGAAAAATTGTCTTTGTACTCGAACAAGTTTTCTGGACCGATTCCTGCCTCCATAGGAAACTTGATCAATTTAGAAATCCTTTACCTCAATATCAACAATCTTTCAGGATCTATTCCTCCAACCATAGGAAATTTGACAAAGCTCACTGAATTAGCACTTCATATGAACAATCTCAATGGTCAACTTCCGCTTCAAATAAATAACCTCACGAGTGTTTCCAACTTACAACTAGGTTGGAATCATTTCAATGGCCATTTGCCACAACAAATTTGCCTCAGTGGCACCCTAAAGTATTTTGGAGCCACTAATTGTAGCTTCACTGGTCCTATGCCGGAAAGCTTCAAGAACTGTTCAAGTCTTGAAAGACTCAGGCTTGAAGATAACCAACTGGTTCAAGATATAACAAATTTTTTTGGTGTATATCCAAATTTGGAATTCATAGATATAAGTGGCAATAAATTGTATGGCCATCTTTCATCTACATGGGGGAAGTGTCCTAAACTAGCCCAGTTCATGATTTCTAACAACAACCTTTCTGGTGTTATACCATTAGAATTAGGTGAGGCAATGAATCTTAAAGAAGTCAACTTGTCCTCAAATAATCTGGCTGGAGAAATTCCGAAAGAGCTGAGGAAGTTGACCTCATTGACTAGACTTTCTTTAAGCCACAATCAACTTTCAGGCGAGATTCCCACAGAAATAGGGTCACTAAATCATCTTGAAGTTTTGGGGCTATCAGGAAATAAATTTAATGGCTCAATCACTAAAGAACTTGGGGGGTTTACAAGTTTGAGAGAATTGAAGTTGGGCGAAAACAGGTTTGAAGGAAGCATCCCCATGGAGTTTAGTAAACTCCAATCTCTTGAAAATCTTGATCTCAGCGAGAATATGTTGAGTGGGAAAATACCAACAATGCTTGGAGCGTTACAGAAATTGCAAATATTGAACCTCTCACATAATAACTTCTCTGGCAACATTTCATCCATTTTCAATGGGATGTCAGCCTTGACTTCTGCTGACATATCATTCAACCAACTTGAAGGCCCCCTTCCAAACAATCGAGCCTTTCTTCACAGTAGCTTTGAAGCATTGAGGAATAATAAAGGTTTGTGTGGTAATGTCACAGGTTTACAGCCTTGTAGCAACTCCCAAACAAATGCACATGGTCATAAGGAAAAAAAGTTCTTGATGATATTCCTCCCATTGGCCATACTACTATTTGTTGTGGTTGGAGCTTCATGCATTTTCTTTAGACTTAGAGAGAGGAAAACAAAAAACAAAGATGAAGAAGCAGATCTTTATTTTGTATGGAATTCTGATAGAGAAGTGTTGTATGAAAACATTATCGAAGCCACAAAGGAGTTTGATGACAGATATCTCATCGGGAAAGGGGGCCAAGGAAGTGTTTATAGGGCTGAATTGCCTTCAGGTGATGTTGTAGCTGTAAAGAAGCTTCATTCTTTTGGTGGGGAAATCTGCAACCAGAAAGCTTTCACAAGTGAGATTCGAGCTTTGACAGAAATCAAACATCGTAATATTGTGAAGCTGTATGGGTTTTGTTCCAATTCACGATTCTCCTTTTTAGTTTATGAGTTCCTAGAAGGTGGAAGCTTGGATAATATACTGAAGAATGAGAAACAAGCCACAAAGCTTGATTGGATCAAGAGGGTGAACGCCATTAAAGGTGTGGCTAATGCTTTATTCCACATGCATCATGGTTGTTCATTTCCTGTTGTTCATCGTGACATATCAAGCAAGAATATCCTTCTAAGTTCAGATTATGAAGAAGTTCGCATCATTGACTTTGGTACAGCTAAGTTTTTGAAGCCAGAATCAAGCAATATGACCACATTCGTAGGCACATTTGGATATGCAGCTCCAGGTACTAAGACCATTTTATTTGTTCTTTCTAAAGTAATTAAGAATCTATACTGTACTATGTTTTGGATAAAACCTTAACCCTGTTGCAGAGATTGGTCTCATTATGGAAGCAAACGAGAAATGCGATGTTTACAGCTTTGGAGTGTTGACTTTGGAAATCATAATGGGAATCCACCCTGGAGAACTTATTTCATCATTGGCTGAGAAATCAACTAACAATGATTTGCTGTTGTTGAAGGATGTGCTAGACTCGCGAATTTCTTATCCCACAGAACCAATCTCTGACGAGGTAATCTTCATTGCAAAAATAGCGTTTTCTTGCTTGAAGGAGAACCCTCGATATCGTCCAACTATGGAACAAGTATCTGTAGATCTCACAAGGTCATCATCAATATCTCATTTAGAGGATCAACTTGGCACCATCACAATTGGACAGCTTATGAAGGATTGAATTTGAACTCATTCACTAGGTTATTTGTGTGTCTGTTTGTGTTAAACATGGTATTGTGATGTGCATATAGTAAGATTATGGTTGTCTTATCATATGTATGCTCAGGTTTTGGCTTGAATAAAACTTGTAAGTGAATGTTTTGTTTGCACATCATCCTCTTCACTCTTGTAGTATGACTCTCTCTCTCTCTCTCTCTCTCTCTATATATATATATATATATGTTTTAGCCATGAAGTTTATAGCAAGGTGCTAATCAATGAATATTATGCTTTAATCAATGAAGGGGAAACCAAACTAAGTAACAATGCTTTCAAACAATGTTGTTTGTGTCTTCTTTAACCTTACTGTATATTTTCGATTAAAATAATTTTTTTATTCTTTTAGCTCAACACCTAAGTAATTAACCAACTAATTATAATATTTTAAACATGCCATTACTTGAGACACAAGCTAGCTCGACCAAGTTTGACGATTAAAATAAAATTTTCCAACCACAAAGGGCGATGGCGTTATGGCATAGGCCATTTAGGCGATAAACCCAGGCCATCCCACCCACAAAAAAAAAAAAATCCTTTATATCTTTCAATTTTTCATTTGTAATTTTTAAATGTATGATGTGAAATTGGGGTTTAGACAGGTCTTAATCTAACATTGCATATTTAGATAGGTTTTAATGTTGTAGATAATGATAATTGAAAATTGTATTAGTCTTACAAAATTAAAGTTTCAGTGAATATTAAAATACTTAGACAACAGAAAAAGTGTTAAGAAAAATTAATACATTATTCAAAGTATATTATTCAAAATGGATACATTATTCAAAGAATATTCAATATTACCAACGAGGCTGAATTTAGCAGAAGAAACTAATTCCTGATAACGTGATGAATTAAAGTTTGAATCATAGTGAGAAAAGGTACCCGATCGTGTCTCGAGTAAAATTGCCTCGCCTAAGTGCAATCAACAAAGAATATTCAATATTATTGACAATATATGTGATGATTGCTAGTGTCATAAGAAGCTTTCTATATAATTAAAATTACTTAAATCCTATCTTATATCGATTACATGTTACAAAATAAATTGAAAGGAATGAATATATTATATATTGAGATAAAAAATATTAGAATTACTTTATATTAAAATTTTAATAAATTATTTTTCAGCTCAAAAGAATAATATCTGCGCGCGCATGGCTGGGGAAAAGACGAATCCAAATTTGATTAAATCCAAAAAAGAAGTTGTATACGTGCAAATCAATTAGTCCATCTAGAATTATTTACTGTTTTCACTTCAATGAAATCAAAATAAATTGACACTTCATGTATAGTTTAAGAATTTGTTATTGCCTTGTAAGAAATGGAAATGTATACTCTAAACTATATTAACATTGTTGACATTTGAAAATTCATATTACTTGGCACATTCTCCTTAGATTTTAAATTTATTTATGTGAGTATTCACACATTATTGGTGTGCTAAATATCGAAAATGTACTCAACTTGGAGAATGCATATATGGTGCATACTTGTGATTTCTATCATTTTTGGATCTTAATAATGATAGAAATTAAAATGAGCACATGTTTTGCTAAAATACAAGTTTGAAGACTTACAAGCACCCTTTAGGGGAGAAAAAAGTGGCACTGCCTTTTTTTTTTTTAATTTATTAAGTCTTGACTTAGTATTCTATAATATTTCTTATTCTTCAAGTGGTCATGCTAAGTTTTGGTACAACAAACTTTTAAAAACGAAAAGTTGCAGTTAATTAAAAACTTTTACCGACAATATTTATCATCGCAAGAAGTCAAATTTATTTTAATGAATTAAAAACTCAAATTATCCATAAGATCCAAAGAATTTTTATCTTTACCATGGGCTCCATAAGAAAATCCTCGTGTATAAACCTTCAAACTGATACTATTTAAATAAGAGATATAAGAGACTATTCTAGTTAATGTAACTAGTGTTAAATGACTTACAATAATTATTCGATCATGTTATTAGGAAAAAGGCTCATGTTATTTTTGTACTCTCTCAATTCATGATACATAGGGTATTTTTTTTAAAAAATTTTACTTAGTCCAAAAAATAGGAGAGGTAGAAGTTCATATAAATTTTTTCAGTTATTTAAACCCTTACTTCATCTATTATTCTTTTTTAAAAAATGATTTATTAGAATTTGATTGTTATTATTAATTAATAATGCTTATTTCAGACATTTTTGAATATAATTGAAAGGTGTACATTTTTTTTAAAAAAAATTAAGATTTAAACTAACTTATTTTAAGAACTATGAAATAATTCACAATGCCTTGTATTGTAGACTGCGAAAAGCAATGCAATGGTTTTATGATGTTGGGTACAGATTTGGGCAAAACAAAAAACAAAAAAAAAAAAAACAAAAAAACAAAAACAAAAGGACGTAGCAGGATCAAACGCCTTTATCAATGACAAGGACCAGAGATTTTCACATTCATTACTTGCGTGCTTTTTTGTACCTCTCTTTCTTTCGTGTTATGTTGTCCTTTTATCATTAATATTTGGAACGAACACACACACACATAATATGCCACAAAATATTAACCTTTTTTAGCTAAAGATTTGAATGATGACCGGGAGGGCGTGCGTGTAAATAATAAATTGCCTTCAATGAAAGTAATAGGACATATTTTTCCATGAAGGAAGATTAAAGTTTGCCTCAATAATACACATAGACTTCGAGGTTGATTATCGTTATTGATGACGAGGACAACTTTTTTGCCTCCCACTTTTGGGATTCAAGAGATAAAGGGAACGCAAAAGACACTTTGAGTGAGTGAGATAAAGCAAAATGTGGGATTTGGATTCTTATCCCTATTATAAGCATTGAATGTTTGTCCCGAGCTGTTAAAATTTTATTAATAATTTGAAATTTATACTTTATTTAAAATTAATAAATAGGTGAGTTTATCAAAACCGTTAATGTCACGTCCTAAAATTTTTACATGACTAACATGCAATATATGTACAAATTCACGTCCCTTAAAGCTTACATTAAGAAAAGTTTTGAATTAATGTATCAAATTTTACTTTTCACATAAATCAAAATATCAATTTTTTTTTTTTAAATTTTTGCATCACCTCCCCTAAAGGTAGAATCCTCCGAAATCCCTACAACAAAAAATTTACATTATATATCCAACAATATAGAACTTTGCTCCTTAGCAACAAGTAATTAACATAAAAAAATCAGGACCCTGACTATAGTTGATGTGGAGCACTCTAAATTGGACTTTCAAAAGATCCTTCATAAGTTTTCAAATTTTACATGAATAAGATGATATTCTCAAAAGTAATATTCTGGTCAATTCAGCAACGAGCCCATCAGAAATCAACAAGGAGTACGAAATCAGATATGGTATATGAGCCCAAATAAAATACTTTTCAGTGAATAACGTCCCAACAATAAATAATTAAATATGAATAAAAATAAAAGTTTGAAATAATTATGTAAGTTAAATAAATAGCAATTTTCATAAAAATTTAATAAACTTTAAAATCAATTGGCTCTATAAAATTTTAAATAAAATCTTAAAACACTAAACTATCATCACAAATGTTATTACCACTTGAGTTCAAGAAGGCACATAATTAATATAAATATTTGTAAATAGTTTACTAAATAAAAACCAATATAATATAAAATCACCAAATAATCAAATTTACAATTTTTAGAAACTTATCAGAATAATATACAAACGTGGACACACAATCCACGAGGGTAATGCTAACCAAACGCGGCTTATGTCACGAATACAAACGTGGACACACAGTCCATGAGGGTAAGTAACCAAACACAGCCAAAGTCACAAAACAAACGTGGACACACAATCCATGAAGGTAATACTAACCAAACGCGGCTTGAAGTCACAAAACAAATGTGAGTACAATGCTCACAAATAACCATCCCTCCATTCCACGTGTGTTGACTATCGCACGGGGTTAACACCTCCTATACACACCCTGCTAGCTAGGTATACCATGGCGCGCCAAGGGCTAACGGGATTGCTGTTAGTAACCAGTGTTCTATACAAAGTCCCTTTCAAATTCAATTTCAAACATGTGAGAATTTGATCACTATTCAATCAACTTTTCCTTTTTAAAGTCGAACTCGCATGAATCGTTTTTTTCGTAACAATTCAATAATTTCCAAAATGAAATCTCACAATAAAAATTCAAACTTGTATTTACTGATTAACTAAAATGATCAATTCTGGTAAAATAATTTCACAAAATAAAGTAATTTAATTAACAAAATATCCCATAATCACATTGCTGTCTTAAAAAGAATTTGCATAAAAATGTAATATTTGAATAAAAGAAATTTTAATGAAATATCAGTTGGAACGCTATCCACTTACTTGTAATACATTCAAAGGTCAAGACTCACTTCTTACACTCCAATTGAGCTACCTATCTTACAAACACCCTATAAAACATAAGAAGATCTTAATCTACTTTACTTTTGAATCCACAATTTTCTTTCCAAGAGAGCCTACTCAACCATAATTAACTATAATAACTTTGAAATTTTTGGACCACAATTTACACATAAAAGTTTCTTCATAACACTCAAGCCAAAGTTAATTACTCAATTAAACTTTAATCGCTTCTTAAGCTTTCTACCCTACATCTTATGTGTAACATTCTAAACTATACAATAGAACTTTGTGACCTTTAATTCTCTTGCCTAACAATTTCCAACATTCAAATATAACTGCCGAAACGTTAACATATCTTACAGATTTTCACGCTCCAAAAATATTTTCTAGTGAATAGCATCCCCAAAAATAAAATTTAAAAGAGTAAAAATAATAAACTCAAACGATTATTAAAATAATTGACAAAGTGATAATTCAATCTATTAAACTTCATAAGCCAATAAATTTTAATCATAACCAGAAACTTTTTAAAAATATTTTTCTATATTTTTTGAACCAATTTTAATTTTTAAATAATTCTATTAATCGTAAAATATTATCTTAATTTTAAAAAAATAAAATAAAAAATAATTTATCAACTTTATATTGAAGTAGCTCTGTTATTATTTTATTGTATTATATATAATTTATTTATGAATGTTTCCTTTACTTGTAAATTAATGTCTTAGTTATTTA